CCTAATGAAATTGGATTCCTTGTTTCCTCTAATGAGCTCATTGCTTTTCTAAATATGGTCATTGTAGGTAAATGATCAATAGCCTTGAAAATGACACCGCTACTGGATAATGTTGGTATGAAAGAAATACTCCTTATGTAAAAATAAATATTCTCACATATATATCTCAGGTGAATTTCTAAATAATGTCATGTATAACAAGAATAGGCATAGTAGATTGGATAGGTTGTTTTAGTGGCTGAGTTAGAAGAAAATTGTAGATAGTCATTCTTCGATTATTAAGAAGTGACTTCAAATCCACATAATCTAGCTTAATTTGAAATAAATTGGATCGCAAGTGTTTCTTTTAACAAAGAGATTGACAGGCTATGAGAAGGTCTATTTTCTATTATGGTATGTACTAGAGGCCTAGTGCATGAAATTTGTGCACTGGGTTGTGGGGGGTGTCCCTCAGTCCAGCCTGCATCCTCTCACAGTCTGGGACCCCACAGGAATCCACCTGCTGGCTTAGACAGGCCTCCTTGAGCCTAAGCCAGCACTCAGATATCCTGCAGTTCGAGGCTCTCTCAGTCTAGGGCTCCTCGTTCCTTACTGCATGCCTGCTCCGGAGACAGGAGAGGCTCCTGCCACCACTGTTGTCCTTGCCAGCCATGAGTCCAGCTTCTGAGCAGTGTTGGGGCGGGAGAGTGCGGGGGTGGGGGGGAGAGCCCCTCAACCAAAAGCTGCTCCTTAGCACTGGCCCCGACCCTCGCCCACTTGTGGGGGGCCGATTGGGAACAGATTGGCCAGAGGAGAGGCTGTGGGAGGTTGAGGCATTGTGGTTGCTCCCTGTCCTGTCTCTCCAGAGATGCTGGGTCCATGATGATCCCTCTCCTGCCGAAGGCGGGAGGACGGGGGGCGCTGGGACCAGACCTGCACCACTGACTCTCCTGCCTCTGTGGCTAGCTTGGCAGCATAGGCTTGCTGACCCTGCCCCCTGCCTACTGATTATTCAGAAAGATAGTTCTTGCAGCCCCAGCTTTGTCCAGAAGGACATCTGGAAGGACGTTTGGTGTCCAGTTTAATTAGCATATTAGCTTTTTATTATATAGGATAATAGTTATAGCATCTTTTTGTTATGGTATAATGGTTGAGTAAAAATAATATCTACTGTGTTTGTTTCCTTGGGCTGTCATAACAAAATACCACAAATCTGGTAGCTTAATGTTGATGTAAGAATGTCCAAACCTTCAGAGTATTTTTATAAGAATGTATTTGAGCCAACCCAATAATTGCTGGGAAGCAATATCTGAAATGCTCCAGAGTATGACAGTTTGTGGTTTCTTTTGTACATTTGGAATTAAGGAGGGAACATAAAGGTGACCTGGGGGTGGGAGAAAGCAAGTCAGGGTTTAGATTACAGGATAGTTAACATATTTATAGTTACATGTGTTCTCTTGAGGGTGGTTATACTTCCCAGAGCTTTGAAAAAGAGCTTTCCAAAATTGTGTTTACTTGTATGCACTAAAACAATGGACAGGGCTTGCTGAAGGCAAAAATAAACCTACTAAGAAAGTTATATGACCCAGCCTGTGTGGCTCAGTGGTTGAACATTGAATATGAAACGGGAGGTCATGGTTTGATTCCCAGTCAGGGCATATGCCCAGTTGGGTTCAATCCCTGGTGGGAGGGAGGTGTGCAGAAGACAGCCAATCAATAATTCTCTCATCATTGATGTTTTTATATCTCTCTCCTCCTTCCTTCCTCTCTGAAGTCAATAAAATAATAATGATCATAATAATAATAAAATAACAAAAAGCCAATTAATAGAAATAAGTTATATGCCTGGGCATGACTACTCACCATAAGCTGCCCAATAGTGTATTTATAATCAGATCAACCCCGAGAGGTTACTTTCAGTTACCAGAATTGCTAGATTTGTTTACAGCAAACCTCCCCCTTTTTTGTCCACATTCACACAAGTTCTGGAGGACAGCAGTTTGAAATCTAGGTGTTAGCAGGTCTGCACTGTCTCTGGAGATTCTAGGGGAGAATCTATCCCTTACCTTTTCCAGCTTCTAGTGGCTGTGGGGCATTCTTCCATCTGTGTCCACATCACTTCCATCCCTGCCTCTGTGCTCACATTTCTTCCTTCTTTTCTGTCTGTGGCTCTCCTCTGTCTCCTATGAGAACACGACACTAGATTTATGGCCTAGCCTGGTAACCTAAGACCATCTTTTTATTTCACAATCATAAACTTAATTACATGTGCATATATATATATCCCCCCCCCCCCAAATAAGGTCACATTCACGAGTTCTGGGGACTAGGATATGGACATAACTTTTTGGCAACCACCATTCAGCTCCTGACATTTACCTTTCTCTACTCTCATTCTGGTTAGTCAGGAAAGCTGAACAAAGCCACTACTCAGGTTACTAAGATGTTTAAGTTATTTAGCAATGTCATCATTTACTGAGAAATTGTGTGTGTGTGTGTGTGTGTGTGTGTGTGTATGTGCACTTTTTAATTCTCATAATCTTTTTAGCATTATCTCCTCTAAGCAGATAAAGAGATAGAGGCTGAAAAAAAGGTAAGATCTTGCTCACGATACAACACAACTAATGAATGTAAATTTATACTTAAAAGTTTATATGTTTTCAACTATAGCTTAAATTTACATGTTCACATTCTTATTTAGAAATTGATGTGTTAAATTTCACAACATAGGTTTTATTCATTGAATTTTTTATCTTTATGATTTCTCAGTTTCCTGTAATAATACTCCATAATTGTCAGAATATCACTTTCAGATTTTACCTTAGGAAGAACAAGCCAAAGTGAAGTTTTATAGAATAATGGCCCATAGGATGAAAATAAATGTAAAGGTTACTGTTTCACCCAAAGCTATCTTTTAATTTCCATTAATAGAGTAGTTTAGCCTGAATGGATTTGGAATTTTAAAAATGGGTGTTAAGTGTACCTCAATGCTTAAGGCCATACTCACAGACTGGTGTTTGAATACTATCTTCTCCATTTATTAACAATGCTTTATTAAAGTTAATCACTTACCTTTCCTGTGCCTTATTTTTCTTATTTATAAAATAGACAATTATAATGATATCTCATAGGGTCCTTTAAAGAATAAATGAAATAATAATATGCTTAAACAGCAATGGCCTTGTAGTACAGAATCAATATAGAAGTATTAATTATTTGACACAGTAGTCCCACTTCTAGGAATATATAAAATCAGAAACACCATTCAGAAACACATATACCTCTATGTTCATAGCAGCACAATTTATATTTGCTAAGATTTGGAAGCACCTTAAGTAGCAGATGAGTGGATTAAAAACCTGTGGTGTAGCTATACAATGGAATACTATGCTGCTGAAAAAAAGGAAGAATTCTTACCATTTGCAACAGCATGGGTGGACCTGGAGAGCATTATGCTAAATTAAATAAGCCATTTGAAGAAAGATAAATATCACTCATTTGTGGAATATAATGAACAACATAAACTGATAAACAAAAATAGATCTAGAGACTTAGAAGCATCATAAAACAGATAGAACATCAAACCTCAGAGGGAAGGCAGGGGAAGGTGGGAGGGGGAATAAGAGATCAACCAAATGACTTGTATGCATACATATAAGCATAACCAATGGGCACAGACAATAGGGGGGTGAGGACATGTGCTGAGAGGTGGGAGAGCAGGGGGAGGTCAATGGGAGAAAAAGGAGACATATGTAATACTTTGAACAATAAAGAATTTAAATTAAAAATCATTTATTATTATCAGTTAGAAATATTTCATAGAAAGTTACCAAAGATGTACTACATTTGAAATTGTAGTGGAGTAACCAGCAGCAGAGTTCAGTAGTTTTATAAAGCAGAACACAGGGTAGAGAGTGTCCAAGTGCAAATATTACCCGTGACAATTTTCTTTTGTAAGTCAAAGTGTTTTGTGTTCCTTCCTGTCTTCTTCACACCAATTGCAATAATCCCCGTGCCTTTGTATTTCTCTCCTCACTCTGCTCTGTTACTTATTCTTTCTTTAAAGAAAAAATTAAGTTTTCATTTTCCAAGATAACCCTTGCTAAATCTTACCTATTTCAGATTGCCAAGGTAATTGAGTCAGTAATTGAGTCAAAAGAAACAATCTTATTAGCTCTGTTTCATATGCATGAACTCTGTCAAGAATACTGGGGACTATTTTCCCTTGGCGTGTTTACAATTCTAAGAAACCTATTGTGACTTACAATTTAGAGATAAAGTATGGGCAGGCTCAGAACACTGGTAGCTTTAGCTCTAAGTAGACCAAGAATGATTTGCACAGCATTTCTAACTAAAAGTGGTTTACAGCTGTCAGATTGTCTAAAATTAATGCTAGTTTGTTTATATCCATATCATAGCATAAGCCATTGTAGTCTGTCAGTGGAACAGGGAGGAAAAAGTCGTGAGGTCTTTATATTTAATTTTTTTTTGTTTTTATATATAGCTTCCTATGGCAATTATTTTAAATTTATGAACCTCATTTATAATATTTTTCTTCATGGAACTTGGTGTTCATGATGAAGATAAATTGACATTATTAATAGACTCAAGATGTCAACAGTTATTATCTATCGTTATATTGATTTTTGGGTGGGAGGGTGAGTAAATGTCAGCACAGGAGAGTGAAATGAATTATCTCCATGATAAACTATGGATGATGGAACCACCATAGGCATCTGCATATGCTTAATTTTGATATTTATCCAGCTGAGGCATACCTTATCCCTCCCACCCCTAGTCAGAAAGTGAATTTACTTCCTGGTAGGGAAAGACTTTAAATTCTTAGTGTTTAAGGGAAAATACCCTAAATTGCATTGTTTATTTGTAAGTGAAATTCTGATCATGCTCATGCCACTGTACTTTGCTGTCAAACTCACAACAGCTGAATTCTTTCTCTGATCAAGAGTAACTAAAGTGTGTTTGCATGAATTGTTTCACTCAGTGCCTTCTCCCATGTCTAGGTGAGCACAAAATGCCGAGGCCTCTGGTGGGAGTGTGTCACAAATGCTTTTGATGGAATTCGCACCTGCGATGAGTACGACTCTATACTTGCAGAACACCCCTGTACGTATGCCTTAGACATTCACTTCGCAGCGAGGGGATACCAAAGAAAATTGAATTCAAGTTTTTGTTATGCATTTTTTTTGTTTTCTTGTTCTGTAGTACTGTTTTTAAGGTTCTTTCCAGTTTTAAATATTTTGATTAGACATTTAGTTTATTTCTGAAATGTGAGTTGAAACATTTCAGAGTATTTTATCTTTTCCAATGTGTTTGTAAATTCTTTAGAGTAAAAATATTATCTTATTCATTTATGCTTTTCGTCAAAGGACCTGGCATAGTACTTTATACACAGTAGGTTTATAGTAAACATTTTGGAAATGGAAATGAGTTCTTTAGGATTCTTTGATTTTATGATTAGAATTGACAGGTTAGATGAAAAGTATTTCAGAGAGAGCATTTAACTATGACTGCTCAAATAAGAAGTTTATAGCATTTCAATGGAAGATTTGCCATCAAAAAAGAATAGGAGATAGAAGGACAGAGACAGAAAGAGACAGGTTAAAGCAAATTGGTTTTAGTTCATTTCAAAGTAATTGACAGGTGATAGTACCACAGGGCAACTTCTTTTCTCAAAATAAATGAAAAGTCAACCTTGGAATGTGACTTCTCCCTGGAAAGCTATTCATCCACGGCAAAGAACCTAAAAGGAGCAGTGCTGTAAATATATTCCCCTGGCATTTGGGATTTGAGTGCCTGGAACATTTTAAACATAATTCATAATGACTTTATTTCATCTTTTTAAAAAAAAGACCTCTTAATTCTTTCTCATTTTCCCCTCTCTGCACTAACCTAGTTCTACCTACAAAGAAGTATGATTTGGCTAATAGGACTATAAATTCGTGTGGTCAGTAAGCTATTCTAGAAATATAGAGGTATGGATATAGCTGAGAAAAAAAAATGAAATCTTTCAACATATTAAACACTTAAGCAAGAGGAAAATAAAATCACACAGGAGCATGCTGCACAAGAGAAAAACACTTTATACTTTAATGTTCCTTTTTTTAACTTTTGCTTACACTATTTCACATTTTCTTTTATGTAGTCTTACCAATTAGTTGCAAATAACATTGAAAAGATGCATTAATTTTCTTCAAAAATTTCTGGCATATACTTAAAGACAATGGAGATGAAAATGTATTCTAGAAAATATTATAACTATTCCTTCTACATTAGGCTGTTACTTATAAGAGAATAGGATTTTATTTTTAGTTTTTGATATCTTTTACAACCATAGTGAACCAAAGATAACCTTTTCCATTATCCTGTAAACTGAAGTATGCAGACCCAGACAAATACTTTTTTTCAGGGTTCCTATTGGTATAGTTCATTTGAACCCCTCCATACCCCCGCAAATTAGAATATATTTATTATTATTCTGGCAGCCAAATCTCACACAATCCTCAAAAGAAAGTTCCTGGCTAACCTGCCTTAGCAACCTGCTTGCAGTGCTACTTTCTTGGAATTGGCCTAGCCAAGAGGCAACCAGATGACATCCTACGCATAAGTCCTGGAGCTCTGCAGAGCATCTGAATAATGCTCTGGGTGGGATCAAGGGCTAAAGAAGGGAAAACTAGAACTCACAGTGATTTCAGGGCAGCCCATCCAGATGATGCTCTTGTTACTGGGTAGTCCCAGGATCCAATAAGGCTTATAGAAAATTTCAAGGGAGGTACTCCAAAGTGTGGGGCCCCTTGGCTTGGGGTGTTGAATAGGAGACCTACTTGTATATATCATTTGAGTATCAGGAGTATCTATTGAAATATAAAAACCAATGAGTTATATATTATTTTCTTTCCTTAATTTTGAGAAAAGTCAGCCTTGGGTTTAACCTAAGTTTGAAATTTGAGTCTATTTTTTTAAAAATAATACTAAGTTTTGAGACCTTAAAAATTCCGTTCTAGAAATGAATATATACTCACACTTTAATAACACAATAATTGCGTATAGTATATATAACTACTAATAATGTAGAAGCTGATCTTACACTTTGGTTTTCTCTTACATAGATCATAAAAATATTGTTTTTTTTTGTTTTAAATAAGAAAAATTGGCCACAATTTTGCAAGCAACCTATTATAAAATAGGCCCTAAAGTTACCTCATCATTGGGGAAAATTATTTATAATGCAAGGGAACCCCAAATCTCTATGAATATAAAACCTAATTACTATATCATTAAAGGAATAAATTTTATTACTCCTCTCTATTAGTCAGCTAAAAGACTAGTAGTTCTGACTTCAGAAAATTAACCCTCCACATAATAAAATCTTTCTATTGTTAAATTAGCATAACCATCACTCCTTCAGGAGGCTTTTCCAGTGGAAAGTGCTTCCACTGCAGGAGGTGATTGCTACTCTTCCACTTCTATTTTCCTTGTCTTCTCTTCCCTGTGCCTTCTACTGCTTATTCTCACTGGCTGTAGCTTTAAAATATGCTCAGTTGACAATGCAAATGAAAGGGTTAATAGGGTTAATATGGTTAATATGAAGTCTTGGCCATGAAAGGTCATGGCTTGAAGGAATGTGAAAGAGAATATAATCTTTCTTCTAGAACTAGTCTTCTACAGTTCTTCCACCAGCCTAAATTCACAAGAGACGTCTTAAAAATTAATTTTGCTCCCCTATATCAAACTTTAACAAATTATTTTTAACTTTTTATAATAAAAGTTCAAACAAATAGAGTGGTCATTTATTATTGAATATTCATTGAGTAACTTCTGCATAACAGATATTCTACTATGAATTCAGCGTCCAGTTATGGTACTTGTGAACAGGATTCAGTGCAGAACAGGAAGCAAAAGAGAAACATTTATTTAGTCCCCACTATATACTATGGATCTTTCTTTAAAATATATTTCATTTATTTTTTTACAGAGAGGAAGGGAGAGGGATAGAGAGCTAGAAACATCCATCAGCCACTTCCTGCACAACCCCCACAGGGGATGTGCCAGCAACCAAGGTGCATGCTCTAGACCATAATTGAACCTGGGACCCTTGAGTCTGCAGGCCGATTCTCTATTCATTGAGCCAAACTGGTTTTAACTATACTAGGAATTTTTATCGGAGGCAACAAGACTAAGTAATAATCAGTGCTTAAACAAATAATAATGCCAATAGTCTCATAATATTTTTGTTTTATGAAAAATGCAAAGGTATTTATTTCCAAGTTCATGCAAATTTAAATATATCACTTTCAGGTTGCCTGTTTTTTATGCACTTCTGTGAGTTAGTATGTTTTCTTCCTCTGACTATGCTGTAACATCTGCCCCAATCTTGCAGTGAAGCTGGTGCTGACTCGGGCGTTGATGATCACTGCAGATATTCTAGCTGGGTTCGGATTTATTATGCTGCTCCTGGGTCTCCACTGTGTGAAATTCCTCCCTGATGAGCCATACATCAAAGTGCGCATCTGCGTTGTTGCTGGGACCACATTATTAATAGCAGGTACTGGTCTAGACTAGTAGTAGGGGTAGATATACACATCTAAGATCCTTTTTTTAAAAAAAAAATTGTTATCATTGACAGTATTACAGATTTCCCAAATCTCCTATCATTAATCCCACAGCCCCTGCCCTACCCAAGGCCTTCACTACACTGTTGTCTGTGTTCGTGGTTATACATATATGAATACAGTTTCTTTGGTTAATATCTCCCTGTATCTCCCCTCACTCCCCCACATACACACCTCTGAGATATGCCAGCTTATTTCATGCATCCATGCCTCCTCTGGGCCTGTTTTATTTACCAATTTATTATGTTCATTAAATTCTACATATAAGTAAGATCATATAATATTTGTTTTTCTCTGACTGCCTTATTTAACTCAGCATTATCCATGTTGTCCATGCTATTGCAAAGGGTAAGAAATCCTTTTTTCAGCTATATAGTATCTCATGGTGTAAATGTACCACACCTTTTTTTTATCCACTCACCCACTGATAGGAACTTGAGTTGTTTTAAGATCTTAGCTATTGTAGATAACATTGCTATGAATATATGGGTGCATATATTCTTTGATTGGTGTTTCAGGGTTCTTGAGGTGAAGGAGAAGAGTGATGTTCTGAAGTCGTCATTTTAGGATCCTATGTGACTTCCTTTTCTAAGTTGAAGGAATAAAAGACACATTCACCAGTCTTAATTTCTTTTGCTTTGGAATCAGATAATTAATCTTTTTTATTAATATGGCAGATCAAGATTTATCAAAGTTTTCAAACTATTTTTCAACCATCTAAAAAAGCTGTATAATGCTTTAATTTATAAAAAAAATAATAATTTCTAATGTGATTATTCCTGAAGTTAAATTCTCTGTTAAGCCCCAAATTAAATCTCCTTACTTATGCCCACCCCCACCAATTCTTTTTAGCAATGAATTAAATTGTGCCAAGCCTTATGTTAGACTTTTCTCATGTGCCAACCCATTTGACTATAAACTAAACAATAAACAGATAATATTTTCTCTTTACTTAAGAAGCAGATGAATAAATGGAGTTCTGAAGACTAATAAATCAAGCATGACTAATAAACCATAAGTCAAGAAACACTTTACATGATGTTTATTAGTGAAACAGCACAATTAATATTTTACTCATTATTTCTGTTGTCAACTTCAAAGCTTAGTCTTTCTCTAACGTGATGTGATCTTTGGATCTTGATACAAGTTGGGAGGAAGCATCCTGTTGAAGAAACCAACAGAAATATCCTCTAGCGAGAAACTGTCTTTTATGCTATGATCAAAAAGTTAGCAAAGCAAATGTAAGTGATAACCTGACCAGGCACTCTGGGTAGTGAATGGATAGAGCCCTGGCTTCGTCTGGAAGGTCCTTCAGCTGTCCAGTCTAATTAGTATATTATGGTTTTATTAGACCAGTTACTTAACCTGTCTTCATTTTCTGATCTTCATAATAGGCTGAAACCCGGGCAATAATATCTACTTTGAATTGCTCTTGGGAAGATCACAATGTATGCAGACCAAGCTCATAGCAGAGAGTCAAACCTATCACCAACTGAAAACCGGCTTCTCCCTGATTTTTTCACATGCAAACATTGATTGAGTCAAGGCCCTGATGATCCTTAGATTGTATTAAAAAGTTACAAGAATTTCATTATATTTCCTTTTTTAAGACATGTAGTTCCATATCCAGCCTAGTGAACCATAAAGCTTTTCTGTGTAACAATGTGTTTTATTTAACAAATTTAAACCTTCTATACATTAATGCTATACATTTTGTTACAGAATACTTTTTGAGATATCACTAGATGCTCCGTTTTTTAAAAAATAAAACAACAGAAAGAGTTTAATTTAAAGAAAACCAAGTCTATAGAGAAAATCCCAGTAGAAATGGCTGAAGAAAAAAAAAAAAACACAAAAAAAAACCCCGACTACATTTAAATTGCCAGACATGGCCAAAGACTTGGAACCATCATTCAGTATTGGTATTTACATAGATTCTAAATTTTAACAAAAGGAATTTCCTTTCTAAACCCATTGGTTACAGTATTATAGAAAAGGCATGATAATTTATACCCTATTATCTAAAGATTATATGTTCATGATCTGGGACTTCTTAAAAATTGTATTAAATAATTGGGAGAAGAATTTAATGAAATGGTGGTTTAAATAGATATCACAAACTCCCTAGAAAAAAGTGTGAAAAACATTTTGAACACTACAAGTTTCAGAAATACCCTTGTCACATAGCCTTTTATCCTCCAACCTCCCATCTTCCCCCCCGCCCCCATCTAGGTCCTGACATACAATTTAATCCTTTAAAACAAGAGGAACTTAGTGGCATCAATTCAAGCCAGTCATTTGTCAGTTAGACATATTTAAAAGGAATAAATTATATTTACAAGGAATATATTTTCTCTGTTCTTATATATGGGGGTGATAGGTAAGAATTTATTTGAAATTGAAGACAATTTTTACTTCAGTTACTAGTTTTTAACCCCAACACACTAAAATGAATGACTTTAAGAACCTAATTCTTATATGAGTGTATGTTATGTAGCTGACATAGCTTTAATAATGGAGCTGGCTGGTGGAAAAGAGGAGCAATAGAATGTTCTTAAAGACATCTACTTTTAATTAAAATATTGATATAGAAAGAATATATGTGCATTATTTGTCTTACATTTTGTGTTCTTTATCTTCTTTAGATTTTTCTTTTGTTTTAATAGTTTTCTTTCTACAGTACTAAAATAACATTGGAAAGAGAAAAAATAAAGAAAACCATAGTGACCATTTTAGGTTTACAAAAACAGATGAGCAGTGCACTCTCTTATTTTTGTATTTCTGAGATGTAATGTGGAAGAAATACAAGAGAGATGGCCGCAGGAACAGATAAAAGAGGTGACCAAAATTTGAGTTGTTCATGAATCCACACAGTATCATTATTATTCCTTTCATGATGCCATCTGTTTTGAGTAGCAAAATTTAAATTTAGGAAAAAACCTGCAATTTTGTTTTGCAACTTCCCTTTCTTTCAGGTGCCCCAGGAATTATTGGCTCTGTGTGGTATGCTGTTGATGTTTATGTGGAACGCTCTTCTCTGGTTTTGCACAATATATTTCTTGGCATCCAATATAAATTTGGTTGGTCCTGTTGGCTTGGAATGGCTGGATCTATGGGTTGCTTTTTGGCTGGGGCTATCCTCACATGCTGCTTATACATCTTCAAAGGTAAGAAAAAAATAAAACAGCATACTTCCCTGCCTCCTGTATCATTTTCCCCAACCCAATGGAAACACATCTCACCAACTCAATATTATTTCATTCATCTCTACTCACTGCTATTAAAAATTTCAGTTGTTCAAAGACAACTCATTTATAATATTCAAACTATTACCCAGTTACTGGTACATTTATTGAAAAAAATTCCATAACTACAACTGTCTAATGTCCAAACATATAATGATTAATTTGATGTATCATAAATTTATATCTCTTACTTCACCCAATCTATTACATTTATATCTAGAGTTAAATAGAGAAGTAGACTGCAAGGCAAACCACATATTTGTTGTTAAAAATTGCAATTTGGTTTCTAAAAATAACACTTAAAAACAAAATTCTCTCCTTATCAAGAAAAAAATAAAGAGAATGCCTGGCTAAATTTTAAATCTAAGAATAACTTATAGGATAAAAAATCTATATTGTCATCTAGAGGTCTTTTTAGATGTTTCTTTCTTAAAATATGTATATTCTTGTTTCTTCTGTAGAAGAATATGTAAACTGACATTATTTTATTCCCCAGAGTTTACTCAGCCATAGTTATGTTTATATCCCTACAATTACCTCTCCTAAACAGATGTGGGACCTGAAAGGAACTATCCTTATTCCATGAGAAAAACCTATTCGAATGCAGCTGTTTCCATGGCTAAATCATACGTGGCCCCTCGGACAGAGACTGCCAAAATGTATGCTGTGGACACAAGGGTATAGGGTGCTGCATATCATTCTGTGTTCGAATGTTATTTAATTAATCAACCAATAATTTCAGGTGAATAAAATAGCAGATAAACTAAGGAACAGTTATTTAAACTTCATGTTCAACTAAATTAATTGTGCAACTTAATAAAAAAGTTTATCACTTATAGTATTCTCATATTATTCCTCATTCTCTCTCTCTCTCTCTCTCTCTCTCTCTCTCTCTCTCTCTCTCTCTCTCTCTCTCTCTCTCTCTCTCTCTTATTGAGTTTGTTTGTGATTTCCATATTGCTATTAGACATTGTGACATGGTGATATTAAAATAAAGTGACACTTTAAGTATAGGAAGCAACCTTCAAAAGATGCCAGAGATTCTCATCTTTGAAGAGATTAACAAACTCTTAGCTCTTCCCCTGGGTTTCAGTTCACTTTTTGTATTCTCAACTGAGTGAGTTACTGGTAACTTTGTAGAAGATGGTTCTTTTAAATTCAGTCTAACATATTACCACCTACAATTGCTATACTTCTGTTAAAACTGGAGAAAAAAAAGTAGCTTTATGTGCCAGCTTCTGGTAGAATTTAAAGATAAGTTTCGCCTTCATGCTCCAAATGTCAATTAATAAGAGTCAGTGGCGACTTCCTTTCTCATTAACAATATAAGAGATCTGTATATTATTAACACCACTCCCTGTTTGCTTATATGTTGCCAAATTATTAAACTGCAGCAGTAATATCTATAGTTAAATGAGGAGTTCACTCATTTATTGATTGGACATTCAAATATATTTTATAAATGTACTATGTTAGCGTTCAATAACTCAGTTGTCCTCTCACAATTAGATCCTTAACCCTTTGCAAAATATCTGACATATGTTAACATTTAACAAATATTTTTGACTGAAATAAATAAAGCTTCATAACTCTTTACATAAATAATCAAATTTCCTCATAAAATATGTGCTTTTTCTGGGGGAAAAAAGGATTCTGTAGACATTTAAATCAATGAATGATTGCTAATGGAATTCATTCATATTCATAATATAATCGTCTTGCATTTTTTAAATTGTAAAGTTTTTAGAATGCTTATAAAATTTAATCTCAGCCTCCCCAATTTCTTGTAATTCACATGAATAGCATCAATCCTTTCGCAGTCCCTTAATGAACTATGAACTAAGCTGGAAATTAGTTCTTTGGAAATGGAAATTTAGTTGTGAATTTCTGAAGACTCCAAAAGAAACACTTCAAATTAAAAAAAAAAAAAAAAAAAAAATAATGTGAAAATGAGATGATGAAAGCCAAGTACATATTTTCACGTTTTTGAGAATGGTGCTTGTGATTTAAAAAGGTATTTCTTTATCAGTATTCTCAGGAGGATTTCTGATCTAATCTTATAAGTCAGAGCAATTGATTCACTTTCTTTGTAGACCACATTTCCTAGTTATATGGATATTATTCTTTGCACTTAAAAACTTCCTTTTTCTCAACCTTGTTTTTAAAAGTTTTTATTTTCACTTGAATTTTATGATAAAATTGTTTGTTATCTTTCATATATTCTAATACATCTCTTGAATCTTTCTGGGGAAAGACGGGAAATTCATTATGTTAGTTTATTAAATTTTAGAGATGCAATTTTTCCTTCTTAAATTTTATTTGTATGAGAAAATATTTCAAAAGGTTATGGTAATAATGGACATCTCTGATAGTTTTGAAAATTTTCTCAATAAAAACATTTTGTATATTATAGGAGGAATATTAGTACTTTTTTCTTTAATTACCTTGGAAATATTTATTTCTAATGCCCTATAACTTAATAAGGTATCCCCAAATAAACCTAGCAAAGAATATATTTTGTATAGCAACTAGTGAACAACAAAACAAATATAAAATACTAAAGAAGTAATCATTGACATGAGGATAGCTCAGCATGCTTAGAGAGAAAAAATAATATATATCAAAGTATACATACATAAGATTATTAGGTTGAAATATTAAAATAACTCACTATATTCTGTGTATTGTAATTTAGTCATATACAGTTAATTACAGTAAGAAAAAGTAAAATTTATAAAATTGGACAATTTTTCTTACCTGCCCCTTTATTAACTACTAGAGGCCCTGTGCACAAAATTCTGCACTGGGAAGAGGGCTCCTAAGCCCAGATTGCTAGAGGGTGCAGGCCAGGCCAAGGGACCCCATCAATGCATGATCAGGGCTGGCCACTGAGAGAAGTGGGAGATTGGCCAGGGGGAGAGACTACTGGAGGCTCTCGGGTGTGTCTGCATGTCTTACTCAGTCCCAATGTGTTCATTTTTTGTATTCTCAACTGAGTTATTTGATAACTTTGAAGCAGCAAGCTAACTTACCAGTTAGAGCATCTGCCCGCTGGTGGTCTATGCATATCATAGCAAGCAGTTGAGCAGCCTTAGCATATTCTTAGCATATGTTTTGATTGGTTGAATGGACCACCAGACACTTAGTATATTAGTTGTTTTGTTTTTTTATATATAGGATAATTCTAATATCACATTTTAAATAAAAATTAGACCTTTGTCATTATAAAAGTTATATGTGTGTATTGTAGACAGTAGAAAAACACAAACAACAAAAATATATTTATTTTTTAATGTTAATCCTCACCTGAGGATATTCTTTTATTGATTTTTTAGAAAGAATGGAAGGGAGGGTAAGAGAACCAGAGAGAGAAACATTGATATAAGAGAGACACATCAATTGGTTGCCTCCCAGATGGGCCCAGACAAGAACCTGGGATTGGGCCTGCAATGACAATATGTGCCCTTGACCAGAATCTTACCTGGGACCCTTGACTCCAAGAGCAAATGCTCTATTCACTGAGCCAAACTGGCAAGTCAAAAATGCATTTTATTTAAATGACTTGGCACCATATTCTCTGTACCTAGATCATTGCTATTCCTTAACCTTATTGAACATCTGTGTATCCTTCGAGATATTATGTACTTATACACATACACATATATTTCTTTTTTTGAGATCATTCTGTATGTGTTCCTTGTAATCAACTCCCCCCCTTTAACTATGTCTGCCTTTCCAAGCAATACATTTTCAACTTATGTAATAACTGATTCATATTTAAATTTCTTCAAGTTTCATAAAATGAATTAATACAGTTGGCTTGTCCAAACCAGTTTCTGTATTTCTTCTGGTTATTATGTGTTTTAAGTCTCCTTTAATCAAGCTACATTTTTGTCACAGACTCTAACTTGTTAAAAAACAACAAAAACAAACTGCCACAGCTAGCATATCTCAGTGGTTAGAGGGTCAGCAGGCACCAAAAGGTCTGGGGTTTGATCTCGGTCAAGGGCACTACTTGTGTTTCAGGTTTCATCCCAACCCCAATCAGGGTCAGTGTCAGGGTCAGGTAGGAGGCAACCAATCGATGTGTCTGTCTCACATTGATGTCTCTCTCTCTCTCCTTCCCTCTTTTATACCCTTTCTATAAATCAACGGAAAAAAATCCTCAAGTGAGAATTAATAACAAAAGAAAGCTGAACCAGTTTTTCTACAGTTCATTTCCAGCTTCTGGATTTGTCTGATGCTGTAACTTAGTCGTTTCCTTATATATATATTTCTAGTAAATTAGAATTTGAATCTAAAGGCTTGATGGAATCATGTTAAATAATTTTTAGGATATACCATAGGTGATGTGATAGAATACCCAGAAACCTAATATCTGGTTGATTGGTCTTAATTATGCTTAAATTGTTCACTGGATTAGAGTGATGACAATCTGACTCATCCATTCTTCAGTTATATATATTTTCTGCTTGATAACAAAAATAATAACCCTTTAGTGATTATATTTGAAACAGTTAATTTGAGAGTAGAAGAGGGTGACATTTAGTGATTAAGTTAGGACTTTCATGGGAAAGCAAGAAGGTGTGGTCACTCTTTTAGTACAAAGGACTCCTTTCATTACCCCAATGCACTCCACTTATGAATATGGTTTGTTGTCCCATACCTCAATTTCCCATAAAGATTACAAACTCTTGTCCTGGCCAATTGCTCAGTGGTCAGAAAGTTGTCCTGCAGACTGAAGGGTCTTACGTTTGATTCTCAATCAAGGGAAACATACCTCAGTTGCAGGTTCTCCAGCTCCAGTAGGAACTGGTGTAGAAGGCAACAAATCTATGTGTTTCTCTCACATCAATGTTTCTTTATCTCTCCCTGCCAAACCCGCAACTCCCTCCCTTCCACTCTCTCAAGAAATCAATGGGGAAAATGTCCTCAAGTGAGGATTAAAAAAAAAAAAAAAAAAAAAAAAGATTAGAAGCTTTAAGAGGGCTACACATTTTCTACTTTGTGTATTGCTCTATTCCCAGTACCTGCACAATGCCTGATGCATAGTAGGCTCTCAATAAATATATTTTTTTAATAAATGAGTGAATGAATGGTGATAATACCCTGGCCAGGAAAATTGATTGTATGAGATTTATTTGTTCACTGTATTATCCCTTCCCTTATTTATGCATACATTTGGGCAGTTTTATTGAAAGGCCATCTCTGTGGTTTAAAGCAGCCTAAGGTATAGGGGGCACACAGACATTAAAAAAATTTAGAGTGCAATAAGATAATTGCTATATCATGGGTATAGAGGAAATACCACAAGAAAAGCAATCTCTACATCTGCTGGTAGAGTCACGGAAGGCTTCCCATAGGAGGAAATTTTCAGTTGAGTAAAGAATGATGATAGAAGACAAGTTAGGATAATGAATTCTATGCAAAGAAATCACGCACACACACAAAAAAAAATAGAACTAAGAGATGGCAAATAATGTGCTAAAAATTATAAGCAGCTCTTTATCCCCAGAGTATAACTGGTGGAAGGAGTTTTTAATATTCACAAATTAGTTTAAAATGAAAACCACAAGAAGACAGCACTTTCCAAGATAGAATTGTGATGATGCACGCTATAAGGTCCTCAATGCCACCATTAGAAATACCATCCAGGTTTACATAGTGCTAGTTTTATTCTGTTCAGTACTCTTCTGGTTTTCCTTCTATAGTCACCTCTTTGAGACATCATAGATATAACAAAGTCCTACCTAACCGTCTTCACCATCACCGAAATCATTCTGATTCCCAAACTATTCCTCCTGGCATATTCTCTCCTTTACACTTTAATCTTTTCAGTCAATACTTTTGCCTTTTTTGGTTTTGTTTCTTTATGTTAACATTCTCATGCTGGAGAGAGCACTTCTTATCTCAATTTAAGGGAGTACATTGACAATTAGACAAAAATGATTCCTGGAGCAGGCTCTGCAGCTTTTGAGCTCAGAAATAATTGTTCTCAAGTGAATAATGTTAGTTTCTGATGTGCAGTAATTAATTGGAATCCAATATAATGCACACTACAGTATCGATTAACCTGTTTCCATTCAAAAAGCTGGTAATTTGACATTTAAAATCTGTATTGAAAGATTCTCTATTTGCCTAAAGCAGAAAAGGATAAGGAGGAAAACAAACAAACAAATGAAACACCAATTATCTCAGCACCTGGAGAATCTCTGGGGTCAGAAAAAAATTATACTCACATACATTTAAAATTTTTAATTAATTTACAGAAATATGAATATTGCACAATGTTTCTCTTACCCATATCTATGGTCTTCACCCACTGTCTCTCTCCCAACAGATGCATCTATTTAATATTTCTTGTATCATTTAAAAAAAAACTATTGAAATATATATAGCATATATAGATTCATTGAAAATGTATACAACATTGTGTTATATTGTGCCTTCCCTTTAAAAAATAAAACCAATGATTAAATATATATTTTGGGCCGTTTTCTATGTCAGTTCATTCTTTTTTTTTTTCTTCTTTTTTTTTCTTTTTTTTTTTTAATGGCTGTATAGCTCACTGGTCAAATGTACCCTTATTTTTCTAATTTGTTCCCTTAGACATCTCCATTGTTTCTGGGTTTGCTACTATAAACAATATTGGAATAAATATTCCTTTTAAAAATGAGTTTGTTTTCTTCCTGAGTTTGCTGGAGGAGAGTCTGAAAGTAGATGGGAAACCAAGGAGGATGGTTGAAATTATCAAACTTTTCTGATATTTTCTAAATTAAGTTGTTTTAATGCAAATTGTAGCCTAGAGAATTAGGGGAATAAATTGAGAGATGCTCTGGTTGCAAACCATAGTTTTCCTTTCACTAAATTAAAACAAAAGTTACACAATGCCTTTGTGAAGCTAATGAATGAATGGGGTGCATTGATTAGAGGGACTCTATC